CTTGATGTGGAGAAAATGAGGCGTTCTCTGTGTGCTCACTCAGCGTTTATCTCCACTTTCCAAACTTCATATTTCCATGCCAGGGCCTGGATTTTTAGGACAATTTACAAGAGGCTCCTCTCCAACAGCAACAGGAAGGCAAGGAGAATTTGGCTTCTTCCCTCGCTTATCTTGGAGGCTGTCTGTGCTCACACAATGCGGTCACCCCGCCCCAGTTCACACATGCAGGGGGTTGAAAATGGGGTTGTGCCCTGGAGTCAGATCCAGCTCAAATCCTGCCTTGGTGCTTCACAAAGCAGGTCAGTTCAGTTTGGACTGCTTTGGAAAACATCCACTTTTAGACTCAGCTCTACAGTTGATCTGTGCTCTGGAAAATCTGAGGCTTTGTATGTCTCCTGTCAGTTTACATGGGGAAACGGAGAAATGGCTCTATGACTTATAAATTTCCAGAAGGAATTACATGGATTCTGCAGGCATCATGTGCCCCTGTGGGTGAATGGAGGCTGCCAAATTTCAGACAGATAGGTGCAAGGAAGGCTGTCAACATTGTTTGTGTGGGAATGTTCAGGGAGGCAGGAGAGGATACATTGTTTAATAATATCCTTCCAAACTTGCATTAGAAGAAGCGTCTCCACCCCCATCGTTCAGCCCGGACACTGAGATCCAGCGCCGAGGGCCTTCTGGCGGTTCCCTCAATGTGAGAAGTGAGGCTACAGGGAACCAGACAGAGGGCCTTCTCAGTAGTGGCACCCGCCCTGTGGAACGCCCTCCCTTCAGACGTGAAGGAAATAAGCAGCTATCCTATCTTTAAAAGACATCTGAAGGCAGCCCTGTTCAGGGAAGTTTTTAATATGTAACACTGTACTGTTTTTAACACTTGATTGGGAGCCGCCCAGAGTGGCTGGAGAAACTCAGCCAGATGGGCGGGGTATAAATAAATTATTATTATTATTATTATTATTATTATTATTATTATTATAGCAAGTCCCTTTACTTAGCAGAGTGCATTCCCCTTTTAAACACACAGCAGTTAGCTTGTGGCAAGCTTGTTTAAGCTTCTCAATATAGGATTCCTGGTAATCCCCTTTTCTCCCCCTTAAAAAGAATAGACACTGCACCATCTTGTGTAAAGTATTAGTTTACTCACACATTCAGTTCACGGATGGATCCCTGAAGACAGACTTAGGTTACAAAGTATATACACGTGGAACTACCCCATATGGGAGTTAGTCCCAGTGACTGCAGACAGGCAGTCACTGCTGCTCACACGGCGAAAGCAAAATGGAGAAGAGAGAGAGAGTGGTGCCTGCCTTGCCCCTTTTGTCACCTGGGCAGGTAAGGTCACACCCACCTCTAGTCACATGCAGAGGAAGTTTGTCCCAGCCCAGGAGGAAACAGGAAGTTTTCTACTGACTGGAGCAAGCATCCCCTTTCATGTCCACTCTAGGAATGTTGTACTTGACTGCTATCTATGTGTCACATCCCACAGTTTGTTTGTTTGTTCACTTATTTGCCTCATAAACTTTATGTATCACTTGAGTGTAGCCCTTTGGTCACCTGAACAGTCCAAGTTAGAGCTTAGTAAACAGAACACTTTGCTGTGCCTTGAACAGCCATTTGATCTGCAAGAATTACCATATTTTTTGCTCTATAAGACTCACTTTTTCCCTCCTAAAAAGTAAGGGGAAATGTGTGTGCGTCTTATGGAGCGAATGCAGGCTGTGCAGCTATCCCAGAAGCCAGAACAGCAAGAGGGATTGCTGCTTTCACTGCACAGCGATCCCTCTTGCTGTTCTGGCTTCTGAGATTCAGAATATATTTTTTCTTGTTTTCCTCCTCCAAAAACTAGGTGCGTCTTGTGGTCTGGTGTGTCTTATAGAGGGGAATATACGGTAACAGCTGATGTGATGTTTGCCTTGATTTTATGGAAAGCTTCGCCGATTGATTTGTGCATCTCACGTGGCTACTAAGAGTGGACCATGCAGGGTTTATTTTCCTGGTCAGCTGGCAATTCTACTGCCAAGTAATGTTGACCATGGATTGACAGGTCTCCGGAGACTCAAACATTGATAGGTGGAGACGGGCAAGACAGGAGTGGGGCCGAGAGATACTTGATGACGGCAGAAGATGGTACAGCACCAATCAGAGGAAGATCTTAGCTTTGCCTGCTGCCTTGGGGGCTGACCCTGATGGTCATAGGCTGGTAGGAAATTGAATAGCAGCAAGCCAAGCAGAAAATACCCTGTGCCTCTAGGTTCTGACCCTGAGCTGTTACGTCTTCCTCTGGAAATCCCAAAAATAATGATGTTGAAACCCTGAAACTTCAGGTCCAGTCCTAACGCCTAGTCATTAGTCACCTTTTGACACCAACTGCAGGCACTTTTTATTCAGGCTTATGGGGACTAGTAATGGGAGCCATCGCTGTGAATTTTTTACGCCGTTCATTGCATGTAATGTTTTGATTCTGCTTTAGATTTTATTGATGTAGATTTTAAGAGTCCCTCCACATTGGTGTTTTTTTTATTGTGGGTGTATTCCTCAACATTCCTGAAAGTTGACACAGTAACAGGGCATCAATGGTGGATTTGATTTTTGCTTTGATTTGTTCTGCAACACAACCCCACCATGACTGCCTAGAGGGGCTATGGCGCCACAAAGGCAGGAGAAAACAGGAGAAAACAGAACATTAGTGATATAAAAAGTTACAGGATTTCAGGAGAACGTTACAGGATATGAACTGATTAGAAATGAAGCAGTGTGCTGGTCCCAAAACCTTTGTAGGCACATGCGTTATGAAAAGTGGGATGGCGTCATGAACAAAAATCATCATGTGCATAAAAAAGGAGGGACCCTGTGTTATATTTTATGAAATGCATCTGAGGGATTGGTACTGTAAGCCTCAATGTGGTCTGGTGAAGCATAGCATAGAAAATACTGATGCCTCTGGCCCAGGTTGACACACATTTCCTGTCCTGCCCCCACCTTTGACTCCCAGGACACTTCACCCAATAACCCATTAAGCTTTATGACAAACATATTGAACCAGTTCCTCCACCCACCAATACCAGATAGCTGTCCATGAAAGGTGAGTCTTCTTCACTTGTTGATCCTCATGCTGCTCATTCACCAACCTCTTGGTACACTGAGCCAATCAGCTGGGGTTGCCGATTTTTTATTATTATTTATTTATTTATTTTTGACATCCCACTTTATCACTACCGTAAGGAGTCTCAAAGCGGCTAACAATCTCCTTTCCCTTCCTCCCCCACAACAAACACTCTGTGTGGTGAGTGTGGCTGAGAGACTTCAAACAAGTGTGACTAGCCCAAGGTCACCCAGCAGCTGCATGTGGAGGAGCGGGGAAGCGAACCTGGTTCACCAGATTACGAGTCCATTGCTCCTAACCACTACACCACACTGGCTCTCCTTTTTGATGGCATAAATATTTCCTTGCCCAGACAGGACACAAATCAGAGCCTGAGGGTCCAAGGCATAGCCATATTAGTACTTGGTGGTCTGTAGGTATCTCAAAACGTGACTCGGCAGTATCTAGTGATGCAAGGAACCAATAAAGGGAACCCTATAAATCCTCAGGGATGCAGGTGGTGTTGTGGTCTAAATCACTGAGCCTAGGGCTTGCCAATCGGAAGGTTGGTGGTTCAAATCACTGTGACAAGTGAGCTCCCATTGCTGTGTCCCAGCTCCTGCCAACCTAGCAGTTCGAAAGCACCTCAAAGTACGAGTAGATAAATAGGTACCACTCCGGTGGGAAGATGAATGGCGTTTTTGTGCGCTGCTCTGGTTTCACCAGAAGCAGCTTAGTCATGCTGGCCAAATGACCCAGAAAAACTGTCTGCGGACAAACGTCAGCTCCCTCAGCCAGTAAAGCAAGATGAGCACCTGCAACCCCAGAGTTGTTCACGACTGGACTTAACTGTCAGGCGTCCTTTACCTTTACCTTTTTATAAATCCACAACCTCTGGCCTGTTCTGCTTTATTGACAAGAGCATGTTGCTGTCAGAACATATTTCCCGCTTACCTGTCAGATGGTCTAACTCTGTTTCATATGTTGACGAAGGAGCCAGTGGCTCAGATTATGTTTTGATGTCTCTGTGTTCACCAGCCTTCCCATCACCAGCAGGTTTTGCTCCCTGACTCCCTGCCTTACTCAGTTCTGTAACTTTGCCTGTCTTTCTGCATCTCCTGACTTTTCCTATCCGGCCTCCAATTCCCCCGCTCACCTGCAGTCCCTCTGCGGATCTCAACTCTCTGTGTAAGGTGACAAAACAAATGCTCTCCCCTTTGGGGCCATTCAGTTCACTCCAACTATAATGGAGCTTGCCTGAGAGATCTTCACTGTCACATTGCACGTTTCTTATTATTGAAGGTCACATCAGATCTCCCAGGGAAGAAATGCCTTCCTTTTCCCCTTATACTTTCAATTAGCACATTTATTAACATATAGGGCTGCTGGTTTACTCTTGACTTGATTTCCTGGTAGAGGTCAACATTTATCCCATGTTTGTGATGTTCACAGTGACCCCAGCATGGTATTTCCTTATGACAGAACATGTGTACAGGAGCACTAAGCTACATGCCAGTCCAGCACTAAGGATGCTCAGACAGTAGAGCGTGAGACTCTGATTTGTGGGTTGTGGGTTAGATCGAACGTTGGTAGGTGCTGAGAGCGCAGCTGGCCATCTCTCCTTTCTCCTTGAGGAGGGGAATCCCCAACCCTTCAGCAATGTCCTCACCTCCATCCAGGGCGAATATTCTTCCAAAATAGGCCTAAAAGGATGGGAGTGGAGTCCCTGGTGGTCAGGGCCCCTGGGTAGAAGAAAAGTATCTGTTGATAGGAGCATGAGGGGGTCTCGGGGAGAGAGGGACAGCCTGCAGAACGTCCTGCTATGTTTTGCAGTTTGCTGCATGACCACTTACAACCAGAATGCTCTCTCAGTTCATTTTATTTTGTTTAATAAAAAAAAAGAAGAAAACTCACAAAGCTTGCATGTATATTTTATATATATAAATATATACAGTATATATAAATCAAATGATTCTGGACAACACTGCTGAATGTGGCATGAAACAAAAGTAGCAAGAAAGTTACGCGGGGCCACAATCCAACAGAGGTGCACACATTTAAGCCCACTGAAATCCAGGGATGTAAGCATGTGTAACTCTGTGCCAGATTAGGCCTCCAATTTTTAAACAGAAAACTAATTCCCATGGACAGCACCTGCAAATCTGGACTCTGCTCTTCTTTGGGTTTTCCAAGAAGCTGGAAGCATACACAGGCTTTTGAGTGCCTCAAGTGCACACACTTACATTCTCATAAAATGAGTTCTGTGTGACTTGAAAACTTGCATATTCCTACATCAGTAAAAATGGGTTCAAAATAACATACTTTCGTATCTGGCGTTTTTAAATCTCCTGCAACCAACATAACAGTATCAAAGAGACTGTGGCAGAACAAACAGTGACACACACACAGAGAGACACACTTCTAAATCAAGATTGGCCTCAAATTACTAACAAGAAGAAGGAAAGAAGGAAAATAATTTCCAGGCAATGGATATAAAGACTTGAACACGAAGGCACCCAGGTGTGTGCTGGCAGTCACAACTTTAAATGTGATCCACTATTGCTTTTGAGTGATGGAAGTGGTGATGAACAATGGAGTCTTTGGTTCCAGAAATCCATATTTCTTTTCCCAGAAGGCCTATGAACAAAAGGGGTGAGTGGCTGGCACAGAAACTAATGAACGGTCCATGGGGTAGGTGGGAGAAGGAAATGGATAAGTTTAAGTGCAGTCATAAGCCTTGCATCCTTCACTGAAGAAGCTCATGCTATATTGAGCTACAACAGACTTGCTGGTACTTTAAGTGGCAATATTTTCCAGGAGAGAGAAGTGTCACCTTTGAAGCTATTTCCTTTGATATTTGGATCCTGCTGTTATTCCCAATACTGAGTCCTAGTTTGGGCTGACTGGCTTTCTGGGCATGGACGAATTGCCAAGCAAGATGGCGGCCCTTTTGACCTGTTGCTTCCCTTTCGGCAACGGAGGCCACACTCCTCTGCTGTCTCTAATTCACTGTTGGCACCTGGTTCCTCTGTAAACTGTATTCCTTTGCCTTCAGTCTCAGGTTAGCAATGCTGTTGGCCATATTCATGCCCTGAGCAGGGCTGGCATTGGTACAGGAGGCAGAATAAGAAGCCATGGCACTGCTGGAAGAAGAAAAAGGGGGGAAACAAAGAAGAAAAATGACATCAGAATATGGCCTTTGTAAGCCACCAGGTTGCATTAGATGTCTTCAGGTAAAGGAAAATGCACAGCTAGCCTGATCTTGTAACTTTTAACTGCAGTTCGATTTTCAGCAGGCCCAGCTTTGCGATGCAAATAGTCATAGATTAAGCTACCGTATTTTTCACTCCATAAGACGCACTTTCCCCCCCTTAAAATCTAAGGGGAAATGTCTGTGCGTCTTATGGAGCGAATGTGTGGTCCCTGGGGCTGGGGGGGGGACCCAGGCTTCCCCCGCCAGCCCCACAAGCTCTGGGAGCAGCGGGAAGGCTGCTCCCCGACCTGCTCTTTGGGGCTGGTGGGGGGGAGCCAGGCTTCCCCCACCGCCAGCCCCACAAGCCTGGGGAGGCTTTGCGCGGCTATCCCTGGCTTTTGCGGGAGGTGGGGGAAGGGACAGAGCGAGGCTCTCTCACTTCCCCCACCTCCCGCAAAAGCCCCCAAGAGCCGCGCTCCCTTTAAAGAGCTGTGCGGAGTGTGTGTGTGTGGCTCTTGGGGGCTTTTCCCTGAGGAGGGAGAAGCCTGCAAGCACCGCACACACGCTCCACGCGGCTTGTGAAAGGGAGCGCTGTGCAGAGCCTGGGATGCATACAGGCTCTGCTCAGCGCTCCCTTTAAATAATATTTTTTTTCTTGAATTCCCCCCCCCCCCAAAAAAAAAGTAAGTGTGCCTTGTGGTCAGGTGCGCCTTATGGAGCAAAAAGTACGGTAATGTAAAAGGCTAAAGACCAGGGGCAGGTGGAAACGTTTGCAGATACTTGGCAATCGTATCTGCAAAGCTCGGAGCAGGCTCATGATTTGAAGCATGGAAAGCAACCCTGGAAAAAAGTAAATATGGTTTCTGGGACACTTTACACACACACACAACTTTTCACCATGTCTGGGTCTCAAGGCAACTACTTGAGAGCAGGAATAACCGAAGTGGTCCTCTACAGGTGGACTATAGCTTCTATCATCCCTGGACCCTTGACCATTGGCCCTGTTGTCTGGGGCTGAAGGGAGTTGGGGTTCAAAGCATTTGGAGGGTGGGTGCCACATTGACAACCTCTGCTTGAGAAGGTGGGGATTTCAGGAAGCCGGCTTCATATACTGGGCCTCTATCTTTCTGTGTTGGATAGTCAGACCAGTGTGGGTTAGAATAGGACCAGTCACTTACAGGTGTGAGGCTGAGATTTGGGAGCATGGAGGAGCATGCTACCTGTGCACACCTGGAATGAGAGCTGTCGGGCAGCTTCTGTCTTCCCTTGCTGAAGATAAGGGCAGGGAAGTTGATTCATCTCTTTTAAGGGCTCTCTGATGCCATTGCTAGGACAACAGTAGGAACAGCACAACTCCTGAACAGGTAGGATCTAATTTAAATAACTACTGGGGGGAGGGAGGGGGAGATATCTCTGAGCCTAAACAGCTACCACTCCTTAGACTCAGTGACAGCCTTCTCCTCCCACAACACACTTCCATGTGGTAAGGAAATGCATATTATAACAGTTGACATGTTCCTACTGCACATTCAGAAGAATAACATGGCGTCATCTCTCTTGGGTCTGCCTGATTTGGGAATACACAATACAGGTGGTAGACTCTTCTTCCTTGAAGGCTTTTAAGCTGAGGTTAAAAGCATCTGACAGGGATGCTCTAGTTAAGATTCCTGAGTTGCAGGGAGCTGGACCACGTGACTCTTGTGTCGGGATTCACAGAATGCTGTGTGAGATAGTAAGTCTGCAAGCTGGAGTTTGCTAGCTGATGCAACGGGCTGATGCAATCAGCCTGCAATACTTTCTATGAAAGTGCTGGGTCAGAAAGACTCAGCAGTAATGTGCTGTCGGTTGATTGGCTGTCATTGGTTTAAAGGGGAAACCTGTCCAGCAGTAAGTGGGTGGTATAGAGGAGTGTGGTCAGAGAGATAGAAAGGTCTTCCTATTTGCCTTAAGGTGCAGCAAGGTACTCTGTTTGACTGTATGAACTGCTCGTGTATTATGGCCTGTAGATTATTGTGTGTGTGTGTGTGTGTGTGTGTGTGTGTGTGTGTGTATCACAATAAATATACTGCACTACACTGAATAACCTGGAACTCTGAGTAGTTCTGCTAAAGGGCCACAGAGAATTCGCTACAGGGTTATGGGGTCCCTTTTAACTGTACAGTTCTATGACTCTATGTTCCACTGTTGTGTGTTGACATTGAAAAGCAAGTTCTAAAGCAAAGCTTTGGTAGAGGTAATCCACCAGTCAATGAGAATAGAAGTTGCAAGTAAGTCACTGCTGAGTCCATGGATACTTATGGACTGCTTTGTTTAATCCCCCCCCTCCTTTGCTGATTCTGCTGCTATTATTTACTTTCTTTATTAAATACAAAGCATGTCACGGAATCCTTCGAAACAACACTTTTAAAAATGAAAAGATCAAGCCACTAACAACAACAAAATTAAACCAAGCACTAAGTATCACCTTTAATCATGGGCACTGATTACAGTCGTACCTTGGAAGTCGAACGGAATCCGTTCCAGAAGTCCGTTTGACTTCCAAAATGTTTGAAAACCAAAGTGTGGCTTCTGATTGGCTGCAGGAAGGTCCTGCAGCCAATCAGAAGCTGCGGAAGCTCCATCGGACATTCAGCTTCCAAAAATAGTTCGCAAACTGGAACAGTCACTTCTGGGTTTGCGACGTTCGGAGGCCCAAACATTCGGGAACTAAGCTTTTTGACTTCCAAGGTACGACTGTACTAGGAAACTCGCTTCTTTCAGTTTGTTCATGGAGTTTGGCTAAGTATTCTTCAAAATAGCCCTATTATTCTTCAAAATAGCCCTATTATTCAAATTTTATAGATCAGATAAGCTGAGTAATGATGACTTGCACCTGGCTATTATAAGACAGGAAGACAGATATCACATATTAGTAATATTCAGAGTTTCACTCAAGCACCTGCATGTTAATGCATAGTTCTTTAGAGCGCCCCACCTGCTCAAAAAAAAAAAAAAAAGGAAAGAAGGTGGGAGTTACATTCTTGGCTCATGATCAGGCATCCCCAACCTACGTCCCTCCAGATATTTTGGCCTACAAATCCCATGATCCCTAGCTAACAGGACCAGTGGTCAGGGATTATGGGAATTGTAGTCCAAAACATCTGGAGGGCCGAAGGTTGGGGGTGACTGCTCTAGGTTTTCCCCAATAAATTTATATCTACAGTGCATTTAGCCAGGGTAGCCCAAAGGAACAGGTGAGAGTTGATGAATTTGGGGTGGGATCAAAGACAGTTGATGGGGATATAGAGAGATTGTCCACATGGCAACAATCTGCAGTTTGGATTAATGGTGTAATAAAACGTTTGGAACTAAAATTTGAAGGTATTGGAAAAAGCAGGTGTCTTCTTTTTCTCCTGGAGCAGCCTTCATCAATGTTCTGCAAAGCGTACAGACCCATAACTGCTGTCTTCAAATGTGTGGATTGGTATGTGTTACAAATCAACACTCGCTGCAAAGTTGGAGATGAACTAGGTGTGCACATCAGCCCTGTGCAGGTGTTGGAAAATAATTGTCTTATAACTGGATGTCTGGTGGTATTTCTATAGCCCTCTATATTTTAGACCAGGAATGAGGAATCTGTGTCCCCCCCCCCCAAATGTTTTTGGACTCTGGTTCCCATCATCCCTGACCATTGTCCATGATGACTGGGGCTGATGGGAGCTGGAGTCAAACAATTTCAGAAGCAGTGCTTTTTTCTGGGGTGATGCAGGGGGACGCATACCCCTAAACATTTTGTGAATCTTTGTACTTTTGTCCATTTACTGTATTTGTTTTCCCCAATTTGAACTATAAAATGCTGATTTTCTTGAGTCAAAATGAGAGCACCCCTAAACATTTTTAAAAGAAAAAAAAAGCACTGATCAGAAGGGTCTAAGGTTTGCCACCCCTGCTTTGGATGGTAGAAGGTTCTGATGGTATCTATGAACCAGAACTCAATCAGAAGTCCCTTCCCCTTGCTTATTGCAAAACTATTTTTGGAATACACAACCTCTTTGGGTAAGAGTGGCCATTAAGCTGTGATGCTTTCTGAAGCCAATATATATGGAGCTGGCCCACACATTCATAATATAATCACTCAGTTGCTCTCCTCTGAATTCTACAATGACTGGCAAGTTGAACATGTCAGCTGTCTCCATTTTGAAAAGCACAGAGTCTTGAACTGATATAAAACTTCTATTGCCTGTTTGTTCTGTGATGACTCAAACACATGGAAAAGAATCTTAACTCCACAAGTGTCTTAAAATATTCTGGGAAGGCTTCAGTAACTGAGTAGCATTTTGCAAGGCTGAATTTAGGCAGCCATCATTGGAGGGAAGGGTTTTGACCAGGGTGTGGATAGAGAACGCTTTGACTGCCACCGCTGCCATAATCCTTTCATATTCCACCAAGCAGGGGAATCAAAGTATGAAGAGGTGAAGGCTGCTTCTACAAAGTTCCCAGAAAACTGAGCTAAGCCTGCTGCCATTGGACCTATCTAGATAGGAACTTTGAAGCAGTCTAAGGACTTGGCTAGATTGGTTTTATATGTATTGTATATGCATATACACCACCAGATGGTGCTGTGGAGCCCCGTCTTTCCCTACTGAATTTCCCTGTAGGAGTTTACAACGCTTTTAATTGAATCACTTATTTGACATGTCTAGATCCAGCCTAAGAGACTAGCAATTTGTAATGCAAACTGGAGTTAATGTCTTCACATACATGCACGAAGGACCTAACTAGAAGCTTGCTGGTGGTCTGGGCAGGGCAAGGGGAGAATTATTGTTCACTAAACCCACCCTCAGGGGTCATTTTATTAGGCTTTTTCCTGCATTTATCATTATTGTGCTTTCTGTTGCGGTGACTTCATTGGAGACAAAGAGAAGGTAAGCTTGAGGCTTCTGTTACACATGTCTCTTTTGCATCTCC